TATAATCTAAATGCAACTAAATGAAATTAAAATGTTGTGCATACTTTGTTTAGACGAGCAATAACTTAAGTGAAAATACTAGAAATTGAGTCTTTTTACGGGGTTATCAGCTACAATACCAAGGATGAGATCGTCTAAGATTGGAGCTAAGTGACCTCTAATGGAACATGGATGAGCTATAATTCCTTCATTTTGAATTTTTTTCAACATTAGGATTGTTAGAATCCTTAACATGTTGACCTTCTCAGTTTTGAACTCTGCATATGGCTCTTTAAGCTCTTTGAGCACATATCTTTAATGAAAAAGTTATTCGATCTCAGGTACCAAAGGTAACAATGGCTTCTCAAATCCTGCACTGGTCATACAACAACATAACACCTGAAAAGGTAAATAAAAAATAACAAGTAAATCTATACAAAAATAAGAAATATAATAGTGCAAAAACTAAAATTAAAATCACCAATTGTGAATCACCGACAACAGTTCTAAAAACTTGTTGCATATGTGAGTTTACTATATTTGATACTCAAATTGTGAAAGTATACAAATCGAACAAATAATATAGTAATGAGTGAGTATTGTCTCCACAGGGATTGAAGGTAAATCGAATAAAGTTTATGCACTTAAACTATAAACAATAAAATGTAAAATGATATGACCAATTGGATGTGAATGCTGTGACAAAGTATTGAGGTAGGTGAAATGATGTAACAAAAAGTAAAGTAAAAAATGCTATAGCAAAGTTAAGTTGAGCACTTGGTATGAGAAAATAAAACTTGAAAACCTCTCACAAATAAGCTACAAGAATGATAAATGGTTGGCTTTACTAAGGAATCCTATTACTTGTCTTCTAGAATAGTTCATATCTTCCACGAGTATGTTGCTCGAACGAGTTTGCTAAAGTGTTTCTAGGTTATCTCTAGTAAGAAACTTGATAGTGAAAATGAAACAACAATATATGTTAGCAAGTATAACAACAAAATACAATCAAATAATTCATACTCCTTTTATTCGGTGAAATTATATCTCATCTTTAGGGTAAGTTAAGGTTTGCCTCTCAGATCAACCCCATTGTTCACGTTGATCTAAGCTTAACTCTCTCAATATCAAGTATTAAACATAGATAATGACTATCTCCTGAAAGCTCTTAAAAATCTAAGCATTTAAGAAATGAACAAAGCAAATATTTAAATATGAAAAACACTAAACCATTCATTCAACAAAAGCATAATCATCCATAAATAAGTTAGTTCATGGCGGGGCTAGAATAAAACATCTTCAACATTTGTTTCATTACAAACCCATTGGGAAAGAAGAATGAAAATCAACTAAAGGATAAAGAAAACTCGCAAGTGTGAGTTGTCTTGAGCCTTGGATCACCTTAGCAAACTAACATCTCTCAAAGTCCTAGCTTGCTATCCTCTTGGAGCTTGGCTATAGAGGACACCACAAACGGAGGAAGAAAGGAAGAAAAATGGAGAATTTATTGCAGCTTTCTTTTATCTCATACTTTTCAAAAGCTCTTTTAAAATGAGGCATCCTTATCTACTTATACTAAAGGCTCCTATGGTTTTGTGCCCAAATTCTATTTTTACCATAAGAGATCATTCCCTTCACGTGAAGGGGTAGGAACGGTTATTAGTAGGGCTCACAAAGACAACTAGAAGAGGGATTCACGTGTGGGATGGATAACTGGAAACAATTCATCAAAATATCTTTGTCCTTTTTGTCATTTTCTATGCCCAAGAATGTTTTCCGGAATGTTGTAGCATTTCTCCAATTCTTCTTCAGCTCTATTCACATGCACATCATCAGAAAACACACATTTCCCTTAAGCAGCACCAATTTCATGAATAAAATGTTGTAGCAAAAAAAACACCACCATATGCAACTAGATGGGTCTAAATGAAACTATATGCCATGAAATAGGCTTTTAAACAACAAATAACCTAAGTAAAAAAGGAACAAAATATAGCCTTTTTATGCATTTATGTATTTAAAAAATCGATATCCATTGTTAGAGAGATATCATTTAAGTGAAAACATATGCATTAACATTCACATTAAGGTCAAGATTGAAAATTTCATTTAAAAACATAAAAACAAAAATTAACAAAAAATCATTATGATGCACTAAAACATTAAAAAATTAACTTTTAAAAGAAGCTCATCATACCATACTTTCAACATGCATGAGATAGCAAGCAACGTGTAAAAATTCATGTTCAACACTCATGTATGCATAAAAATCAATAGGCAACCAATATAAAAAATAAAAAAGCTTTAAGTTTAGAGGCTACCCATCCTTTTTCTTATGTGACTAAAGCATTTGGAATTCTTTACCTTTATCATCATTGCTCTAACACACCTGTAACAAACATTCATTTGGATTTTTGTACCCAAATTGCTTTGGGTCTTGAAGGGTTAGTACCAATGTCTCTAGTTCCCTTCGGAACCCATATTGTCTAATTTTAAAAGATTTTCTATTTTTAATAGGACAAGTATGTACATCATGACCATAAAATGACAATGTGAGATTTTTTCCAATTTAAAATAAATGAATTGTTTTTGGAAATTATTTATTTTTCTTTTGTTAAACACTCAAACTTAACTTTCAAATCAATATTTTCTTTTCCTAAAACTTCAATTTTGATTTATGAAAACTCAAAATCAATTTTCAAGATTTTGTTTTGTTTTTCAAAATATAACTTTGCTTTCAAAATAAAATCATTTTTCATTTTTGAATTTTGAAATCAATTTCTTACATTTAGAATTCATGGTTTCAAATTCCCAATAAAATTCTTCATAAACATCTTGTAACTCTTTAAAAAGAATGAGAATTTAACTCACAAGAGTTAAAAGTTATTGAATATTCATCGATGGCCATGAGACATAAATTAACTACTTCATCTTTATCATTGGAGTTGCCTTCATCACTCTAAGCAGTCCCAAATGCCTTTTTTTTTGCTTGATCTCTTATTCTTTAGGAAGAGACAATCATATTTGACATGTCCCGTTCTTTGGCATTCAAAGCACACTAGGAGACTGTTCTTCTTGTTTTATTCACACTTCATTTTTTTTCCATTGGAAGACATGAATCTTGTGAATCTTTTAAAGAGCTTGACCATATTTTTATCTTCACTCACATTGTAGCTTAGAGTAAGAATGTCAATCTTGGACTTCTCCACTTGGCTTGTTCCTTCATGGGTCACCTCTAATTTATATCAAATCTCCTTAGCATTAGAGCAAAAATATATTGAGTTTGGCAAGAGTATAAAAGAGGATATGTGTGGATTTGGCATTGAGTTTGGTAAAGAACATAAATGATCTTCGACTATAGGATACTAATTTATTAATTCCATCAATTATTAAAACTTACAAAATGGTCCTTCGATTATAGATTGTTGCTTTGTTGAGTCCTCCGACTATTGGAAGTTACAAAATAATCACCCGACTATTTATTATGTTTCAAACTTGTCATTTTTCCTTAAAAAATGGACTATATTATGAGTTGAACGTTAACTTTATTGATTGTGGTATGATAAAATTTGACCCCAAAATCTCAAACGACTATCATATCTCAGTCATCATGTTAACGTCCAATTTAAATAATCGCCAATTTTTTAATAGAGAATGACGAGTCTAGAACATAATGAATAGTCGGGTGACTATTTTGTACTTTTAATAGTTGAGGGACTCAACAAAGCAACACTTCATAGTTGAAGTATCATTTTGTAAATTTTAATAGTCCATGGACATAATAAAGCAGTATACCTATAGTCGGGAACCATTTTGTGTTCTTTACCCATAACATTATTGGTTAATTAAATATTATTCCAATTAAAAATGATTAATATATCTTTTTATTTAAATACTGCATTATACAATTATAAATTTATAATGAAAATTTTATATTTAAATTTATTTAAAAATGATTAATAATACTTATTAATGAGATATATACATTAATAAAATACTAATAAAAGATATCATGATATATTATTCCATGCAGCAACAAGGAGAAAAATAGCATGGTCATATAATTAGGTCAGACTCGGATTGATGCTGCTTAATTTTGGTAATGGCCGCTAGGTTTCACACCTTCCCAAACCAAATTTATACATTTTTATTAAATTAAGGTGATTACAAAATAATATATGTTATAAATACTTTTAATCATTTAAGAATAAACGTTTAATCATCCTACTACAGTTGTTGATACTCAAACATGTGATCTCTAATAACAAAAAATATTTATTTAACTAAATTTATATTTATATCTTTGTATTATTATTATTTATTAGCATGACATTAAATCTTAACCTAATCTTTCAGCTATAATATATAATAAACAACATCAACTTGAGAAAAATATAAAATCACATTCGCTTTTCCATTTCTTTCTCTTTTGTTTCTTTCTCTCAAGAAAAGAAAGCATTGACTTTAGTTATAATTGCAAATAAATATAATATTTTTTTATGTTAAGAGATAAACTTATAAAATTTTAAAGAAAAATAGTTTATAAAATTTTAAAGAAAAATAGTTTATAAAATTTTAAGAAACAAAAATAAATTATATATATATATATAAGTTTTTAAATTTTCAGACAGTAATCCCATCAGCCCCTCGATTCAACTTTGACGGTAGGGATGAATAATTTTTTATGTTTGAGGAATAAATTTTTAAAATTTTAAGAGAGAACTTTTAAAATTCTAGAAGATCTGAAATAAATTATTAATAGAAACATATAAAAAAAATAAAATATATAATAATTTGAGAATTTTAGGGGACAATTGTCCCAGTGATCCATTTCGATCCATCCTAACTATAATTAACCCTTCCTAGATCACGTTGCCTTTTAATCGCCCTTTCCCCCATTTTCATGCTTCTTTTACTCTCCTTTTTCAATCCAACAACTCCCCTCCTTTAATCCGGGGAATCCCACTACCATGCTTGAATGTCCAGAGACGTAAAAATCTTTCCTGGGTTAGTCCAATTAACAGAACAATCTTCCTATGGAAGAATCTGATGATTCAAAAACCGATGTATCTGTTATCAGGGAAAGAATTGATGAGACAGGGAAGAATATAAAGACAGATGCATGTTCCGAAATGGGGAGGAGACGGTTGTTGGGTCCTCCAGGGACCTTGAACACCATCACACCTTGTGCCGCATGTAAGCTCTTGAGGAGAAAGTGTGCCGAAGAGTGTCCTTTCTCTCCTTATTTCTCCCCACATGAGCCGCACAAATTTGCCGCCGTTCACAAAGTTTTTGGTGCAAGCAATGTCTCCAAGATGTTAATGGTAAATTAAACCTTCTTTTCCTTTTTCTGATGGCCGCCAAGTTCAGTTTCTTATGTATGCAGTTTTATGGGCCTTACAGGAGGTGCCGGAGAGCCAAAGAGCCGATGCGGCGAACAGTCTGGTGTATGAGGCGAACTTGAGGCTAAGAGATCCGGTTTATGGCTGCATGGGTGCAATCGTGACTTTGCAACAACAAATGCAGACCTTGCAAGCCGAATTGAACGCTGTAAGAGCTGAGATACTGAAATACAAGTTTAGAGAAGTTACTACTACTTCTAGTCACACTCAGGCTGCTGTGATTTCTGCTGTTGGGGCGGTACCAATTGCTGCTCCGTCATCTCCTCTTCCGCGAACTCCTCCTGTTCCGCCACGGCCTCTTCCTTCCATTGTTGTCTCATCATCTTCCTCATCTTCCGCATCTAATTCTCTGTATACATCGTCAACCACAGCAACCGGATATAGTAACGTTCCATATTTCGACTAATTCTATAAGCTATATATCCGATTCCCCCCCCCCCCCTTTATTTCAAGTATTTGCTATCAGATTTCCAGTTTTCGTCTTTTTAAAAAAAACTTATAGCAGAGTAGTAATCTTGTTCCATCTTCCCTAGCACCCAACTTTCATAGCTTCGTCGTTCAAGCTGCAATTTGTTGTTTACTTGGTTTCCCGAGTTAAAAAATGTAGTGAAAATGTCAACCCATTAATTGTTGAAATGAGAAGTATGGGGCATTTCCCATTGCCAGCAAATGACCACAAAAGTCAACACCATCCGCCTAGGCAAGAAATTCAACTACACACGGGAGGCGTTCATGTTAATTACAGTGCAGTATAGCTATTTTCCACAAGAAGAAGGTGGACAAGATCCTTCATTGATTATCACACGTGCAGGTAACAAGATTGGAGTTTGACTAAGCTTCTATTAGCATGGATTTAAATTCGAGTTTTTGGTTGAATTGTATTTATCACCATTACGAATATTATTATGGTCATTGCAAGTATCGCAGTTATGGAATAATAATTTTATTTATACAGTATCGTTATCACTCTATTACGATCCTTATTCTACTCACGGGCCACAATTTAAATCCATGAAAATTTCTTATTGTATTGTAAAAAGGATAGGAACGTGTGCAGGGGAGACAAATAACATATGCTGCCTCATGCAAATCCTGATCCTCCCATGTGAAGTTGAAAGCTTGCAATTAATTTGGAATATTGTCATAAACTCATTTTTCTTCCATGTAAATTACCTTGTTTCCAGTGTCCCACTTCTCGAGATTTGAGTTTGTGATGACTTTATATTAAATTTGCATGCATCGTTTTGATAATCCTCATAATTAATTTCTACCGAGTCATAGAAAATGATAACCAGATTTTAACCCTAAAATCCCTGGGCTACTCTACTGCATTTCTGAAATAAGGTTAGAGAAGATATCTGACTTACTCGATATCCTGTCTTTATGTACATGATAGTACAGTTTTAACTTGTAGAGGTAAACAGCATAAAAATGCTAACCAATTTAAAATTGGTAATTTTGTTATTGAATTTTTTATATGATCCCTAAAGTATCCATAATCTTATTTTATATTTAAATACATTTGAACTCATAATTTTCAAATTGTTATAATGGTAGTTTTCTCATGGATGAAATTGAAAGGTTATGGTTTCCTTGGCCAGTGGAGCTCAACAAGATCGACGAACCCTAGAAAAATATGAATAGCCCCCTCATTTATATAATGTATAATATAAGAAAGAAATGTAGATGATAATAAAATATATATAAAATACCAAATTAAAGGACTTTGAAATTGTGATGGTATTTAGGGAGGTAAAAAACTGACCCGATTTTAAAATCGGTTTGAATTAAAATTGTTTGTGATCTGAGACAGTGATGATCTGAGTTCGATTTGAGTTTGAACTGATGTTGGCCTGAATCCGAGTTGAATTTGATAATTTTGGATCTTAACTCGACATGCACCAGACCGAAAAATGACTTGGACTCTAATTGAACCTAATAATGTCATAACTGAACCCGACTTGCATCTGATCTGATATGAACCCGAACCCGAAATCAACCTTGTAAATAACTAATATTATCCAACCTATTATCATCGGATCTGTAATTGATTCAACCTGTATATGATCTGACTTGTTATTACATTGATATGATTTTGATCCTAATTGATATTTACCTTACTTGTAAGTTGTAATTGATGAAATTGTGAGATTATAAATTCATGATAATATAGTGTGACAAAATAAGTTTTCCCTATTCAAGGTACATGATTCACTATGATCATTAAATTAATTTATTTACTCTTTATATTTATAAATTGTAATCTATAAATATACTTAAAATTCTATTAAATTGATAAATTTGATTGATAACGTTAATAAAAATGATTCTTCACAATTTAGAATAATTTATTAATTATAATTATTAGATCAATATATTTACTTTCTATATATTAATAATGATTATTTGGTTAATAAATTTACTTTCTATATTAATTACAATCATTAGATTAAAAGTTTTAATTATAACCATTAAATTAATTTTATTAAATGATTATTTTATTAATTATTAAATTTATTACATTAGAAATTGGATTATATAAAATGATTTTAAATACTAATAAGTTTAAATCGTTATTTTGATGTAATAATTGATTAATAATTACTTTACTTGTAAGTTGTAAACTTTTAATTGACAATTGATATTATAATACGATAAGTGATAGAATAATTCTTCACCGTTTGAAGCAAATGATTAGTTATGATCATTAGATTAATAAATTTATTTTTATAATGTAATATATGAATAAATTTGATAGTTTAATTAAATTAATAATTTATGGTTGATATATATAATAAAAAATAATTCTTTACCATTTAAGGCACATAATTAATCATGACTGTTATAATAATAAGTTTAATTATGACCATTAGGTTAAAAATTGTTCTTGTATATTATAATAATAAATCGTTTATATTTTTATATTACTAATAATAATAATTTTAAATTATTAATTCTTTTATTTAAATTATTTTTGATAATGACTCATTTATTTATTATTAATTTTATTAGATTATATAAAATGATTTTAAAATATCAATATGTGTGAACTATTATTAATGAGGTATGGTGTAACATCCCAAAATACGGGTTGGTGAACAAAATTGTAAAATTTCAGAATATGGTGATTAAAGTATAATAGTTTAATAGTTTAATGATTTGTTTGGAAATATTTCCTAAAAGTTATAGTAATTATCCAAAGAATTAAAGGACAAAATGGTCATTAGACTTGAAAATTATAATTAAATGATATATATATATGGATAAGGATGGGAGATTTTCCAGAAATCTCTTCTCTCTTTTCTTCTTCATTTCCTCTTCTCCACGTGTGAAGCCAAGCAAAGGTGAGTTTTCTCTTGAGCTGATTATGTGCTGAAATTTAAGTTTAGTTTTGATTATTAGATGCTAAGTAAGATTAAGGAAGGATTAATTTGCTTTAAAACAACAAAATGAAGAGTTTATGAGGATTTAAAGATTTGGAGTTTTTGAATGAAATATCGAAATAAAGTTTATATTGAGAATTGAAAGTTGAATTTGACTTGTCATCAAGTTAATTAAGGGATAGGAAGTGTTAGAATAGGAATTTGAACATGTTGCAAAACTAGAATAATTTTTGCAATTACATAGGAATGACTAGATTTGAAGTTAAAGAAGTGATTATGGAATAGAAATAAGTTTAAGTATGTGTATTAAAGTTAGGAGTATTAAAGGAAGTGAAATAGGAAGGTTTGAGTTGAAAATTGATGATTTTCGAGCTTAGAATACAATTTCTGGGTAGAGGGAACCGATACCCTATGAATGGGAATGGATTCCCCCTCTTGAACGAAAAATTCCAGTATGTTCAGGGGGTATCGATTCCCCTGGGGGGGATATCGATTCCCCCCTAAATGAAAATATAGAATTTGATTCATTAAATCGGTTTAAGTTATTAACATCAAGTTTAAAGTTTAGGCTTCTGATAGTTGTTTTGAAATGATATATTTATGTAGATATTGAGCCTAAACAAGTTCCGGAATAATCAAAGGATTATAATCGAATCAAATCAAGGCTAAGGTGAGTGCAATTTAAATTGTACTTATGTGATTGATCAAACATTGGCTTGCGATGAGTCAATGATAGAGTTATTATGGTAAGAAGTAACTTATATAATGTTATGTGATTACTACATGTGCATTAGTACATAGAAATGGATGTAGGTTTATATGTTACATGATTTACATGCTTACGTGAAAAATGCAACATATGATATTAGATATATGTTTACACAAACATGTGGTATGTGATAGAAGAGAAGGAACATGTGATTATGAGATCCATGATTACACGTACATGTGATACGTGACTGAAAAGAAAAGATATGTGTTTATAAGAAAAAGAATATGAATAAGTAATGTGAACCGTTATAAATGATAATGCCCATGTTATGTGATATGAGAGCTAGGGGTATAGTTGGCATGCCAAGGGTCAAGGGTTTACCTATGTTCTTCGGGACATATGGACTGTTTACCTATGTTCTTCGGGACATATGGACTGTTTACCTATGTTCTTCGGGACATATGGACTGATTACCTAGGTTCTTCGGAATCTATGGACTGGTCCTTCGGGACATTTATACGAGCTGTTGTGACAGCATAGTGGTGCACAACCTCAATGTACTCACATACCTTAAGTTCTCAAAAGTATACATGGGCTAATACATGGTCCTTACAGAGAGTAAATAAATAAATTGATTTGCTACTACGTATGTTTTGTTGTGAAGTAGTATATGTGTTCCATGGTATGTAGAGAAATGTTCGATATATGTATTTATACGATAAAAAGGTACTAAAAGTACTTGTATTATCTCATGTTATCATGTATACTGAATTATATGCGACTCGATTGAATTCATAGATTGAATGTTTATATTTATGAGAAATGCATTATTATTATGTTTTTGCTTCACTAAGCCTATGACTTAGCGTGTAAGTGATTTACACGTAGGTACTGAGAAGCAGAAGGATCAAAGCTAAGTTCATAGTAACAACATATCTCTGCTCAAAGACCAGATCAGAAGTAAATTACACAGTATGTATTATTATGTGATAAATAGGTTGGCATGTAAATAAAGTAGGTAAATTAGGTATTTATGCTCTGATCGAGTTTTGTAATATTTTAAACATATTTATATAAGTACAAATGCAAAGAAATGAACTGTTAAATTTTTACGAGTGTTATGTACAATTTACGAAAATCACTGTAGCAAGTTACTGTATTACTGTTCATATCGTATTTCACCGTTCATAAACACGTTTTTATCTCAAAATTTTATACCAAACATAATTGAATAATACATGATTGTATTTTCTTAATATAAATTCAAATGTTCAGTTATTTTACAAGAATAAAGGTTTTGAAAATGTCAAT